ATCCTAAGATCGATAATACTTCAAAGGTGAACCCAAAGTCTGGTCGAATACCAACGACACTTCGCCTTCGGCAGGCATTCTAAAAGTCGTTTCTAACTTTTCCGAAACCTAGTTAGAGCAATGTTAGGCGCTTTGGTCAGCAATTCCAACCTGGTCGGTGTTTGAGCCATGAAAAACGAAACGATTTTTTATGTGCAACTTGCTTATAACAATATAGAATCCGATGTAAATTATTGAAATCCACTTGATACAAAAATAGGTGCATTCGGCTAAGCTCTGCTTATTCGCAGCCCATCGCAGAGGACCTTTTTGCGGTGGGTTTTTTTCCAAAACTTCAAAGGCTTTTTCTTTAGACTTTAATTTCAGTTTTCAAGGGAAGCACACCTCCCCATGGCGACTCATGGAGCTAAAGAGCTGAGCTGCAGACATGATGACGATGCTAACAGAAACGTCCACCAAAATGGAAACAGGAGAAGTTGTGTAATCCAAGGTGACCCCAGTTATCGTGAATACCATCAAACATCACTACAAACCTGCTTGATTCCATCCCACAAAAGCAAACGAAAGAGAAATCCACCGAAGGGCTGCTCACGGAACTACAGCACAGTTGCTTTCTTTTGCAAATCACGAATCCCAAGATTGACATCGATTACGACGTAGTCGAGCAGAAAAAGCGGTGCCTTGAGCGACACGCCTTCCTTGCGTGCGTAGTTAGAGGGCAACCGACGCAAGAAATCAAGGCCCTATAGACCAAGTTGTTGCGACACCAGGGCATAAAAATTGACGCCAGTAGGTCACACATAGTGTATGTGTGCTGGAGGGGTGCGTGGGGTAGTGGGGTGCGATAATTTTCCTAGGTTACATCCCCAACCTACCCTCCTCTTCTCCACTGTTAAAATATCACCGGAGGCCGTGTGTTGTGCACAATCACATTCCCACGTTCAACACTGGTAAACCCACAAGCACGAAGATTCTGAGGCGAATTATCCCAAGGGAAAGCAGCCGATAAGTTGTGAAGTCTAGCGTGGCAGATTGCATGAAGAATCGGAGATCTGTGAGGAAGACGAACACCTCCACACAATAAGGCCAGCGCATCTGCGTGGCGAAGACTGCAGAAAAGCACAGGAGGCGAGCTCAAAGTCCAGCAAGTCCCACTTCTGATCCTAAAGCTCCGTTTCACGAGAAGTTCGATCCATGTTAGTTCGTATCACATTGTCGAAACCATCACGTATTCCAGAGATCCTCCAAATCAACCAGCATTTGTCAATTCATACACTGCTGCTCAACTGGCGCAGCAGATAACGCCGCAACCTACATTGCCTATTTCGGCACCATTCGGTTGCTCAGATGCGAAAGAAGCAGCGGATCTTGTGCTGAGGATGACTCAACTGCATTCCCAGCTCCACTTCAGACACAAGCGATGAGATCTCAGAATACATTGCACGCAGCGTAAGCTCTGCGAGCCGCAGTGACGAAGCAAACAGCGAAAGATATGATACATTATGCTAAAATCAGCTTAAAATATATATTTCCGTCTCTTGATATCATGCTGGTTAACTTTTCTTTCTGTAATTAAATTTATTAAACAGAGTTAAAAAAAATTACTAATCAGTATTAAGCTTGGGGATAATTGCAGTGACAAACCTATAATCCAGTGCCCACTTACCGACAATGTGGACGAACTGTGATTACAGTTCACCCTCGATATGTGTTACCCCGATAAGTGTTAAAATCGCACATGTGTTAAAGGAAAGTTGTGCTCCCTCCAAAAAATATACTAGTAATTGTTAATTGTTAAGAAATTCTACAAAAATTATGTTCCCTTCTAAAATGAATTCACCTCAATAAATATTAATTTGGATGAAAATGAGGTTATGAAATTTTATAACTTGAATGAAATCAAATTAGATCCATCATGTACATATGTTGTGGTTTGCATTTACAATATTGTATATAGTTCATAATATCTTCACACATCATCAATTCTACATTATACATTGCACATTTCACATCTTGCACATATTACTAACCACAAATTCCATCAATCTCTTTAGGATTTGAACTTCAAGCTTTCTTACATTAGTGTCATTACATTCCAATGTTATATTATTTGAGGATTTAATGATGTTATGATGTTGTGAAAGATTAATAACTTGGTGATTTAGAAAGGCTCAAAGTTTAGGTCTACAATGAAGAAAGGCTCTTAATTTATTTTAATGCAAAAGAAAGAGATCCTCCAAAATCATCAAAGATTAGTATCTAATAGACAAAATATTATCAATAGGACTTTGACTACATAGGCTAATTCTACTTATCATGCTCTACTTTTGACATGAGCATTTGCAAATTACTAAAGATGAGAGATTTATTGAATATTGATGTCCAACATCTAGTTGTCTCAAAGTACATTAAGAAAGCTCAATGTCCACATATAGACTAAGCTATTTTCACTTAGTTTAAGCTTATGGAGAATCATAATGTTGCTTTGTAAGATGATCTTGTAGTTGTTGTTGCAAAGAGATTTTATGGCACAATATTCAAAAGAAAAGATAAGAAGGAGCTTTAATTTATATATAGGTGGATGGACAAATTCAAAAAGAGATTTTATATCAAGGAATATACTTGCTATAGAGAGGATACATGTATTGATACTTCCCTTGAGGCCTTGAAGAAGAGGGAGGAAATTGAAATATTAGTGTCTCAGTATGCTCTTTTTCACATATTAAATATGGATGCGACATGTCTCTTTTATAGGATTGAACCAAATTATACACTTGCTACAAAGATGTTTAGAAAGAAGAAGGAGAAAGAATGCATTATTATTGCACTTATTGCAAATGTTGATAGTACCATTAAATTTCTCTCTTTGGTTATTAATAAACATGTGAAGCTTTAGAAATTTTCATGTAGGCACATTCTCAATCCAAATAATCTTGAAATTAAATAGTTTGCTAATAAGAAAGCTTTAATGACTATGTGTTTGAAAAATTTATACTTGATTTTGAAAGGAAGATGGTTGTTGTACAAAAAGATAAGATATTACTATTGGTTGATAATTTCATAGGTCACCAAGTACCTATTGTAGGTGCACAATCAAAGATGACTAGACTTAAATTCTTACCTCCAAATACTATAAGTAGATGCCAACTCATAGATGTAAGAATTATTCCATTATTCAAAGTTCAATACTACAAGAAGCTCATTCAATATCAAATAGATACTCTTATAGAAAATAAGATAAAAAATATTGATGTAGATTAATCTATGACAATGCTACAAAATATTTGGCACATTGGAATTACTACATCAATAATCATGAATTATTGGAAATACACAAGTATTTCTTTTCTTTTTTCAATTATTTTTGATAATATGGAAGCAAAGGGAGCAATCAAGAAAGATAATGAAGCTCACAAAGCAATATAGAAGAAAGAGACTAAAGAAGTTACTACCTTACTAGAATAAGTGACATTGATATTCATAAAAAGTGAAACTAAATCTATTATGAATGTATATGAATTGATCAATTATGAAGGAGAATTTCATCTTAAAAACCCCTACATACATATTGAGAAAAAAATTATAGATATGTTTATTAAAAGAGATGATGCAATTAACAATGAATCCATTGAAATAGTTAATAATATGTAAATTGGTGATGTGGTGGTAGATAGAGTAGGATTCAAGGATGTTGAAAGTGCATTAGTTACCTTGAAAGAATTTATTGGAACAAAGGTTTGTTGATGTTACACTTCTTATCCAAAGCATTTGAACACTTCAACAGAAATTAGGAACTTAAGGTGCACAAGAATCTCATCAAATTCCTTTATATTTGTTCTTCCATTATGCTTCGATGTGATGACATTCATATCTTATGTCTTTTCATTCTTTTTGTGTGTTATTGTTTTTAATTCCAAAATCATGAAATTATTATTCAGGTAAATGCTACAAATTGTCTATCCTACCACAAAAAAGTGTCATTGCGTTAAAGTGTTAACACCACAAAAGTGTTTCAAGTTTCCTTGCTCCGAAGTGTGGACTGTACCATGGATCTGACACCCACCTTCAATCGTGACTTTGGATCTTTCGAAGCGTTCCGTTCTGAAGCCAATGCACAAAATTTCATCAACTCGGACGGTGGATTTGAGGACGCCTCTTCCTTCATTCATCCACTCATCGTTGGTCACGCATCTCCGACGAAAGCGAGCTACGGTTTATCCACATTGTCGGTAAGCGGGCCCTGCAACGCTCAGCCACGAGAATAGCAAGCTATAAATGTGACTTTGACAGGTCCGGCTCTGTTGCATACTTATGGTCAAATGCGCCATCGAAAGATATCTTCAAGTTCGACGGTTTGGCCGAGTGGTCTAAGGCGCTGGATTTAGGCTCCAGTTCGAAAGAGCGTGGGTTCAAATCCCACAGCCGTCAAATACTGCCAGAGGCGTTATGTACGCTGTCAACATACAAGATAAGTAATGTGACTAATGTAGTTGTTGAGCATCTGTCATGAGTAATTTTAAAACTGCCAGCCTTGCAGATAACTATATCCACTTAGTGCTTGTACACCTGTCCCAGTTAGTTGTAAATATCAGTTCCCATCGATTCATGTGCCTGTTGTAGCATTTTTACCAGAAGTCCAGAACAAGTTCCTAACGAATTCAAACTGGTACAACCTCTTACCACAACACACTCTGACTTTGTCTGCAGTACAGCTCTTTCAATCTGCTACTTGTGGTCGAAATTCTTGAAATAGGTGGTCCCATTCGGCTGGGAGTTTAGAGCCTCATTTACTCCTTGTTTGCAATTTGCTTATTGTATCTGCAGTGGATTAGCCCAAACGCCACTTCCCCAATGACTTCAACAGACCTGGTGGAAATTCAGCACAAGATCCATGAGAATCTACCATGCATTACCATTGCTCGAGGACATCACAGTCCCTCAAAAAGGCACAACAGAGATTGCAGGACCAGTAAACACAGCACATGGTGCCAAGTAGCTCGTCAAGAAAATGATGATGTGTTCCGACTCAGAGGAGCACTGATTTAACTTTCAAATAGAACAGGTGGTGGTCATACAAGCAGACCGCTCAAAGCTGTTCTTCACAATAGAATTGTACCCTCAACTCTATGATACATTTCACAAGGTGAAACCTCATGAACTATCTAATAGGAGATGATCCCTTTTAAAACTGCTTAGGAGTACTCTAACCGAGGTAATACTGCTGCAAATATGTCCACCGTAATTGAGGAGGAAATCTAATGTACATCAGATCATTGAGACCTGAGTTTGATCCCCACATCCGTCCGACATCTTCGACGCCCTAGAGGAACTCCGACATGGCATACTCCATGGTCAAGTGTCGTGGCAGAAGGGGGATGTTAGGGTTCAGCTTAGGTAGAGCACCAAAAAATCTGGCCTTAAGCGCCATAGCTACAGTTTTAACGATCTTGTCATCGTCCGCAAGAAACTCACGGTAGATGAAGAGGCAGTAACTCCATCTAAATTCAATATCTTCCTCGCGAAGACTGCGGAGGGTGCGCACTATTCTATGCATCTGGGAGGAAGGGAATACATATAAACATCTACTCCAGTCGATGAGAGTGTCGAATGGAAGGACGAAATTGTCAGAGATAACGACAGGAATTGAACCAGCAGACAAAACCTCCAGGAGCCGAAACGAGCTTGACCCTCTTCCAGCTGAAACTAGACCGAATGTGGAATCCATCAAGTCTTCGAACTTGTATTTGTCGTAGATGGATTGGTCCCTTGCGCAGTCAGATCGGAGTTCGGGGTGCTTGAGCATAGCTTCAGAATTCAGGCCCTGAAAGTGGAGCCCACGAATTGAAAAAACACATTCGACAATTAATAAGCAACTCCAAGATGTAATACAGGATTTGAATAAAACTTTTAAAGTTGCAGAAAACTGAGGATAGAAGCCAGAAGTAAAAGTACCTGGTTGCAAGTGGTAGCAACAATGATATTCTCTCCATTGTGCATTGATCTCAAGACCGCGTTGTTGCGCAATCCCGACCTTCCCAAAAACCGGGTTCCCGTGAACGTCAAAAAGTATTTCCTTTCTAGTGCCTTGCGTCTCTGCAACTCCAGATAAAATTTCCTCTGAGGGAGAGGAACGCTAATGTCGAATCCTTCGCGGTAAGTCGTTCGATGCGTACTGGAAGTCATTGTGGACGCCATTTCGGCCACGTCTGGAATGAGGGTTTTCTGTTTGGCCCAGTTGTCTGAGACGGAGATAATCACATGGTTCAGACCGTGATTCCAGTATGGCAGAGTGTTGAAATCGAGAGCATGCTCAGCTCTGGTGTCAACGGTGACGAAAAACAGGCACGCTTTCGATGGGTCCACAGTATAATAAGGACTTTTCTCCAATGCTTGTTTGAAGTACCATGCCTGAGAGCTAGGCGAGTCGTAATGGTACACCAGAAGCTCCTCCATGCCGTCGCAACGAGAGTAATCGAAGCAAGATCCCATTGAGCAATGAGAAGATTCGGTTGGGTTCCTGTTTTCCTCAACTTTCCTCATGGAAGTATCAAAACGTGCCGGATGAAGATAGACGGGAGGTGAAGTGGCATTCGAGGTTGGACCTCCACCAGATATAACATAGGTTCCCATGTTCACAACACTCACTATCATCAGTCCCAACAGAAGGAAATTGAAGAGCCCGTAAAGTATTTGTAAGTAGGTGGAGATCTTCGGCTCCGGTGCTTCTTTGATAGTCGACATCTTCGACAGCTCAAGTCACTAACCAGGTGAATAACTCACCGTTCCTGGGATATCCGTTGCTCGAACAACTCGGCAAAGACTGTAATCTATGCAAACCACCGCCGGTCAGAACTTACAATTGGTTTAGACATTCACGCCAAAACGTGTGGTGACCACCACAAAATCGATGTGCATTGGCGCCAGGCTTGCACAGTCGAGCAAGCTCATATTTCTAAGATGACGGAAACAGGGAGCTCTGTCAGCGAGGAGTTCACGAATCGCAATGAATTCATAAATGGCTGGACAGCAATCCAATGCTCGACAGAAAGCCTCTCGAGATAATGAGTTCACTCGTACTCCAGCCAACTGTAGACCAAAGTCAAAAACTTAAAACTGTCCCAATCAGAGGAACGCAACACTAATGTCGACGGCACACACTCAGCGAAATCCTCTGCTGCTGCTCACGCGCCAGTCGCGCAAACCCTTCCCAAGCGAGCGAATCATTAACAATCTATCCAAAATCACTAAACAAATCCTGTTGATGAAACTCAAGCACAGCCGACGAACGCAGTACGCTGGAAGCGTCAGGAAGGAAGACGAATTGCATTCTGGAGAAATAGAAATACAGGCGCCAGAAATGGCGGTTACTGTACAGAATGTTGGCGAGGAGAGAAAAACGTCGGCGCGCAATGGATGTGAAGGACCGAAAATGGCGCAGGCCATGAGTTTCTGAAGGACACGAGGAACAGGGCAGGAAGAGGGGCTGGATGCGGGAAAAAACTACAGGTCTCCGCCAAGGTGCTGGGGCCCTGGCACCCCGCAAGCTCGACGTCACGACGACCTCCCATCGTGGCCGCTCACTCCCGCACAACATCTGACACAGCCCCGGCCCCTCCCCTCCCTCCTCCGCTGTGCGACCCCCAACCAACTACCGCGCGAATTCGAAACCCACCACCTCGGTGGCACGTCGGGAATCACTTCTTCCGTGAGATTCGCTCCAAACACCAACATTTTCCTTCCAAAGTCACGTCGCAGATCCCGCCCACGTTGGGGTTTAGTACGCTTCAGTAAACGAAGGAACTGGATTCACCACAAGGGGGTGCATGCACTTGGGGGTACAAACAATTACATGCAATAAAAATAAAAATAAATGAAAAAAATCACCCTCATACACTCTGCACTGGACAGAAAAGGATCCTTGCGACTTGAATGTGGGTTTGTCCATTGGGAATTCGAACTTTGCAGGCTGCCACGCGGGTGAACGTCCCTATTAAAAGGGGGATCAGGTGAATTGTATGCCTCGCCGTAACTGAGGGAGAAGGGCCCGCAAGCTCCTTGGCGTTCATGCCACGAGCTTGTTTCGCATACGCCACGTCGTAGTATATTTGATTTTACTTTACGGATCAGACTGGGTGTGGCCGTGGCCGTGGGCGTGCTGATCCCTCTTCATCGCTGCCACTGTCATCAGCTAATTTTGTCCAGTTCTTGGTGGCGGTCTGCAAATTCGTAGCACTGCAATATTCCAATGGAGGGCGGGAACGAGCGGAAGGGGGACGGGTCCTTGGTGTTCCTCACCAACAATCTTCCATTCTCAGCCTACTCCTGAAACCCTAATTAGGGTTATTGCACTTGTACAATAACTCTAATTTGGACTGTTGTTGTTGATCAAATTTTGAGGTGCACTGTATTGGCACATAAGTGTATTTGTGGGTAAGCAGAAAACCCATAAATATATTCTTATCGGTGGTTAGTTTTTTTCTTTACTTTTGTCTTTTGAAAGAGGTATCTTTGAACTCCCTAATCGTTCTTGTTGTGATTCTCCATTTATACATTTCTGTGCCAAAGTTGGAAGATGCATGTTTTGGTTTGAAATATCAGTGCCCAATATGCAATACAAAAATAACAAAGTTATATTTTCCCCATCTATGGATTTATTTATACGAGTTCATTCACTCAAATTTTAAATTCAAAGTCTGTAAAGAGACCATGCGTCCCCATCTCAAGATTTTGCATTTATGCTACATAGTTTTAACTAAATGACAGCATTTTTTAAAAAGTATCATGGTCAAATGACAAGTTTATAAGTATAGTGTGGTTATAAATTAAATGTGATTGTAATCTGCTCAACTGTAGAACTAAGGATTAAATAGAACCTCTCACTCCTGGATACAAATCTTGTCATCTAGAATTCTTGCAAGATGTGATTACTTCTATACTGTATCACAAAACTGGTGGCATATCATTCATTTTTCTTGTAGCATAGTGGTAATCATTTTTAAACAAATTAAAATTAAAAAAAAGGAAATCAATCCTCATATTTATTGACTCAATTTGTCAAGTGTGTGAATTACAAATCCGTAGGTTAGTTAGTGAATTTTAATTGAAAAAGTTTCCCCTATTTTATGTACATTCATTCTGGCTTGTAAGACTAGAACAAAGTCCAAAGTCAGTGGGTTGTACACATTATTGTTATTATTATTATTACTGTGCTTGACATTACACTTCACAGAAATTATGTTATCAACAAACAAGCAAACTTCATCCAATAAATTTTGCTAAATGAATCATACTGTGAGCATGTTTAAAATGCAATATTTTGTTTTTTTACGTGTCAACCCAGTTTCAACATTGCGATAGAGAGATATAATAATAACGAGAAAAAAACAAAACAGACAAAAAAATATTCTCTCAATACACAATTCATCGTCATTTAGGAAAACACATGTATGATAAATCTTTCATCACATTCAGAGGCTACTCACATGGCACCAACAAATTATCGAAAGTAATATCATTCATATCATGACTACATTATTTTGCAATCAATCTCATCCCAAATATCAACTAATTCAGAAAAAGAAATATTTACACATACAACACAAATAAGTAAATAAATATCCCTGATTGAAATAAAAATCAAAGGTCTAAAAGTACTTTTAGGTAATCAAGAACAACATGTTCCACTGGCAATTGAAAGACAGTGTTACTAAAGTTGGCCGAACGAATCCCGGCTGTGAGGTTCCACCACTATAATTTCGCAAGGATAAAAGTTATGGGGACAATAATAAATCAAAAACAATTAACAAACAAACACCATGTCAAAATATTTCTTAAAAATAGGACCCATTTACAATGTCCCTTTTATTTTCAGTTAATGAAAAGGAATAATCACTGTGAAAGTTGATGAGGTTGTCAATGCACGATTGAGCATTAAAAGTAGAATCTTCAACGGAATCCGTGTTTCCGTGAAGGTCGGTGGTAGAGACAACCAACTCTGCAGAAGCTTCATGTTGTTGCTGTTGTTGTTGTTGTTGTTGTTGTATATTTATTTATTTAATTTTCCTTCCTTTACTTCAGTCAGCAGAGTTCTTGTCTTTACCCTGCAACCACCGTCAACACAAGAAATGAAGAAATCTTCAAATTGCAAGCCATGTAGTAGCCCAATCAACTGTATTCTATTGCAGAGTTGAGCAGAGAAAGATCATTTTTTTTGAGTATCGATACCCACCTTTGCAATGCAATTGCTTTGCTGAGGTTTGCAGTATTTTTGCGACAGTGAAGTAAATACCTGTCACTGAAACGTGCAACAAAGGTGACGTTTCGGAGGATCATACCTCTGATGAGATCGAACAAAGCTTGTGTGCACATACATCAGTCGCAATGCAATGTACCTCTGCTCGTGTTGTCACTAAATGCTCGTTTCTGCGTTGTCGGGATTGTGACTGATAGTCTCTGAAGCTTTCCCTGTACATTGATTTGGATCTCGCAACCACCAGATCCTGAGTGGTGGCGAGCATTGTCTTCGGAGGGTGGTAATAGAATCAGCTGCATCATGCCTGTCTTAGCAGGAAACCCAGAGCGATATTCCCTCGACATTGTCAGTGCTGATCAAAACTTAATAATGCACAACCGCAGATTCTTTTCGCTGGACTCTACAACCGGATGACAAGCTAATCTGTGCAGCTTGCCCAAATCTCTTTCTGAAGACACGCCTTACGTAGCTTAAGACGACAGCAAAGGTAAACTCGGTGATATGCCTGCCTTGGAGCCACTGTCCTCAATGAACATGGTTATCTAATCTCTTTGATCGTAGCAACTGGAGATGACGAAAGGGCAGACGGAATCTCAGGATGAAAGTTCTTTAAAACAAGTCTCAAGATTCAGCTCGAAAGTTGCAGTAATAGTTGAATATTGAAGACCAGCTAGTTGAGCTAGGTCAAACGTGACACTCAGTGTCTACACTCACATTTTTTTGAAGACATCTTCATTTCTTTTTACATGTGATGCACCTGAAAGAACGCTGAGTTTTTGAGGGTGTTGTAAGAATACATTTGCGATTTGTTGCAATATAGGCCTGCTAGAAACATGACAAATTTGACGGCACAGAAGTGAAACTTCATGCTTCATGCCAAGATCTGAGACGCACGAGATACGATCCTGGGAGTGCAAGCTAGTAAAGAGATTCTGCAGCTTGCGGATGATATCTAGATCCACGACACGAATACACGAACTTGAGGAACCTGATAGTCGTTCTCACACAACCCAAATCTTTTAAGACAGAGCAGTCAAGCTGAGAAGGTGGCATGATGGCAAGTTCCATAATCGACTTATATCCCATTTCCAAAGCTGTAAGAAAAGCGAAGGACAAGCGCCCTCTTTCAAACCATCTGGAAGAAATTGAAGCATTTGCCCAAGCTCTCACTGCTCAAACTATGTCTGCCATTCCCTAATTGAGTTGCCATACTCAAGGGATTATTCTTTTGAGGAAGCATCTTGATCCATGGATTCATCTTTTCTTATACGCTACACAGCATTTTGATCATAAGTGAATCGCAACAGTTGTCTGAGAGCATATTCCTCTTCCGTTTGTTTATTGAGTCATACAATAATTCCTAGAAAGGTTTTCTGTGCTTCTGAATTACGGAAGTGCTTGATGTCGTCCAGATTCTTCATTCGACTCCCAAGAACTTGAATTACGATTGGCGGTTGCGCACGGGCACAGTAGGGGCTATCGGCACTGTTGACAACGTACCAACAGATGTTTGAGAGGGATTATTTTGCCCCATGTTGTAACCATGCCCTGGGTATGACACCGGCGTCAGTGTTGATGTGGGTGTTTGCATCCGCATCTGGCACAATTGACATAAAAATGGCCATCGGAAATTGCCTCCCTTGTAGACACTGAATACTCGCCACTGATCCTGCACTGTTTAGAACCATTTCGAGTCCGACCTGCAAGACTGGATCGAAACTTATATCCTCAGATTGCTCCAGTGCCCTACTCGAGTCCCCAATTATAACCATGGGAAACTTCTCATAACAGCAACAAACGTCGTTCTCTTTTCATACAACACGCCACTTCAATACAGTTAAATGCCTAAATCCAGCCACTTTATCAAAACTACAACCCTCACCACTAAACTTCCTAAAATATTTGCAACTCTCCACGCTGGGTTGATCTGAGGCGAGATCCAACTGCTTAGAAAGCGATTAGAGGGTTCAACTGGTGAAGAAAATCATCGGAACAAACAAACAAACAAACAAACCCAAATTCCACAAACCCAAATTGCAGGTTGATCAAATAATGCTCAAGACAAGGGGTTGAGCACTCGATGTAGATGAACGTCGTTGCCCATTGATGAATGTATAGACCAGCTGACAAAGGGCGCACACACATCTTGTCTCTTGATTGTCCTTTTTGTGCTGTGATGCATCGTGGAGGCTCTCACCGCCCCTGCTGACATGTTGATTGAGCTACCAGTTTCATGAATTGTATTTTGCTTTTGTACAAAGCTGAGAAAACATTTTGGCATGGCTGACAATGAAGAGTGTGCCACGCTGATCACCTCAATCTTCGAGTTGGGCTCTGTTGACGGTTGAATCATGGTTAAGGCATAAGGCGATTCAGCGTTTGGAACAGCTATTCTTCCGAGCTTACGTAGAAGGGTCTTTTAAAAGACTTGTCCAATCATTGAACGCTGCAGGTTCGTAATGAGTGGATTAAAGTCGATTATGCTGTTTTATTATTCAATTATTCACCTTGCTTGGATTTTTTTCATAATTGGTGAGTAGAATTCGAATTTTGTCATCTTAGAGTTTTACCATTGGGCATTTCTCTGATGTGAGACGAGCATGTCGGGGTTTGAAGCATTTTGGGAGCTTTTTTGATCGGCAACAGGTGATGTTAATCTGTTTAACACGTTGTTCAGAAGTGTCGTTTCACATTATTTGAATACTTAACATTGTTGGCCCATTTACATATTGACTTACCTTTCATTCTGTACCTTAGAAGAGAGAAGAAAATCGACCATGAGCAGTTCCTCGACTAAGAACTCTTACATTGCTGGGTCATCCAACGCCCAAGGTTAGCTCATTCTTAAATCTCGAATTGTCATGGTGATCTACTGAGTACATGGAAGTCTTAAGAGTCAATATCTTACACATACCAGTTGAATTCCTGTACGTTCATATTTTGAATATCGTGTGTGAGCTGATTGTATATCATTGCATATGCTATTGCTGAAAGATGCGTATGAAGGATATAAAAAAATTCACATGTAGGGATTTGCCAGTTATTTCCAGTTAAAGTCCAACCGCTCCATGGTTTCATCTGGAGATCCCTAGCGATTCTTCAGATAAAAACCTCCTGTTTGATGTGTCAACCGATTATTTCATTCCTCGATCACACCCTCCCAGTGGTAAATATGAGGTTTAAGGTTAATGGCACTTATGGCTAAGTTTCGTTTGCAAAGAACTGTTGGGGAAACTTGGTCTGTATTGAATCATTAGTTTCATCTTTATTCATGCCTTTTACCTTTCATTGGCGACTAAATTAGACATAATGATATAGGCTGGACTATAATACATTGAAGTGCCTCAATTCTCATCTTTATTTGCGTTAAAATTTCTTCATTTTGCAGCTGCGGAGGAGGACCTAATCTCTTATGTGGAGAAAGCATATTCTTTGCTAATGTCCGCCAATATGAAGGCTTTGAGGTTGATATTTGCGGTGAGTTTTAAAGCTCTTCTTAATTGTGTTTGAATGTGCCTACTTGATACGAATGCTTTTTCTTGTATATTCTTCAAGCCAATCAATTTGATAATAAATTTTCCGTTCTAATCAAATCAGGAGGTTGAGGTTGTGAATGTTTATTCCAGGAAATTCGCTTTCCAAAAGCACTTGCCAAGAGTACATATTTGATTTGATAAATTCCCATGTACTGTGTGAGATTGCTGAGGCATTTACTGCGTAAATAGTAGTTTTTTATAATATGGGAGACATTTACGATGTTTCACTAACAGTAACATAAACGAATTAATAGCCATTTAAATGGTCATACTACAGAAACTTTTTAAAAGTCCGACAGAAGAAGGATTTAAAGTGATGATGAACGAAGTGGATGGAGTTTTTGATCACTTTAATACCAACCAGATTTTAATCATCAAGAAGTCAATCAATGCATTTCTTGAAGGAGGCTCTTTAGACCTCTCAGAATTTCAAAGGGTAATGTAAAAGCTTTGGCTAACGCATGTTTTATATAATATTTGTACGGTGTTCTGGCTCTAAGCGACATAGTTTGGATCGTAATGACGTATAAATTCTGTAACGCAGTTGAACGATGAGCAAGACGATTTGGCCACAGATATTGAACTTATTATGGAGAGCACCAATTCAGAAGATCAGGCAAATCCAATGCCTGCGCAAAGAGCTTTACCAACCAGAGCTTCACAATCTAAACCAACTGGTGCGGTCCCCAGTCTGGACAGGTTACCACAAGTATTGAGATTTTATCTTCTTGAACTATACTTTGTGTTCGCAGAAAGTACAGGTTCAAGAAATTTTTATGACAAATTTTATTGTGGATGGCTGCAGTGGCAGCAAATCAAGGAAATGGTCTATTGGTTGGAAGGCATCGGTGTCAAGTGCATTGAACATACGACGGAGGCAAAGAATTAGGTAACCCTCTGAACGTGCAACTATTGATCTCTCCATATGAGGTCGGATGCTGGTAATTTCTTTTGCCGGTCAATCTGTTAGAATTTTCAAAGTCAATCATAAAGAACTAAGTCATCTCCCACTTAGATATGTAATTTTATGACGAAGTTTCTGAAGAATTTTTTGAGTGAAAATTTTGACTTGTCTAGTCCATTTTCTATGCACGTTTCTAATCTAATTTTAATTAATGATTATGAATGTGTGAAGAAATCCAAGCAGAATAATCTATCTACAGTTCTTACTCGTCAGAGTTATGTAAGACCGCTTTCATGTTTTCTATTATCCGGAGAAATACAAGGAACTTTGTTTTGTTTGTTTGTTTGTTTTTTATTTTATTTTATTTTATTTTATTTGTTTGTTTGTTTTGTTTTTTTTTTTTTTGTTTTTTTTATATATATATATGTTTTTTGAGTAAATCCAAAATATTTCAAAGAAAGTCATGGCGTAGAGGAAATTGCGTGTAACACTAAATAAAGGAGCATCGAATGTCTTTGAGATGTAGTGATGGTAACCATCACACAAGATGCTTCTGAAGTTCTTGAACACATACTACAAGGGCCTGGTAGGGATCGAGCAGTTAAAAAAGTAGCTCTTGGACCACTTGAAGTTGTTCCAAAGTCGAAGGCCACCAGAGAACATCTTCGTAACATTTTAAGGTATTGACGAATGCCCTGTTCCAAATTTTAACGTTTGTGGCAACCCTATACGCTGTTGAGAGGAGAATACTGAGCATTCAATTTAATTTTCTTTCATGATTTATTATTCAGTGTTGTTTTCTGCTTAAATGCTGTAGATTTCAGGTATTTCCCTCTATTCGGACGAGGTTGTGCTGAAACCTGAAAACTTCTAGTATTTTAACATGGTGTTTTGTTTTGCAGTTCGCATTACCTTTTAGGAGACCTGAGTTATGAACTTCAGGAGGAGATTATTGATGCCTTTCAAGATGTTCGAGTCTCAGCAGGGACAGAAATTATTAAACAGGGTGATGTTGCTGATAATTTCTATATCATTGTAAGCATGTCATTTCTGACAGATAGATTGCTGTCTGTGTATGTCTTTGCTAGTATATATTTCTGTCTTGTTGCGTGTTTTTATTTTTCTAGACTATCCGTTCTGGTTTTATAATCTCTGCAATTTTGTTAGTACTTGAGTGCAGTTAGTTTTTTTTCATCCTCTGCTGATGGTGAAAATAGCTTAAAATGTGGAATTGTTTTGGGGTTTGTTCCTCATTATCAAATTGGTTTAATTTAAAAAACAATGCTAAACCAAAGATTGTTGGCCACCATTGTAGGATGTCGGTGACTTCGACATCTTGGATCAAAAGGTGCTACTCTTTCGAAGTGTTTTAAGTGAACCAATTGCTCATCTCTGTGCAAGTTGATGTATATTTCATTTCGTTCAGTAACTCTGTGTTGATCATGTGTGCGATATTTGTTGAAGATTCCAGTAGCAAAGATGTAAACCTCACAAAGGAAGACATTAAGCAACAGTATACTAGTTCATGTGCGTTTAATGTTCATTTTCATGAAACTAGAACTAGCCCCTCAATGTTCTTAACGTGGATGGTTTTTCTGTCAAGGGGAGTGATCAAGGAATACTAGTGCGTACGAAAACCTCTGGTGATAGCCTTGGTGAATTGGCTCTGATGTATGACGCCAAGCGTAATTTTACTGCCAGAGCAACAACCCATGGGCTCCTGTGGGGCGTAAATCGTGCTGAATTTAAGTCGATCTTAACAAGGCATTTTTCTGGGTCACTCCTTGCTCAGGTTTGGGAAAACTCACGCTTTCCTTTTCACAATCCGGAATATTGTAGTCATGCTTAGTGGTTTTCAACATCATATCTCTTTGGGCCTTCTGCGATATATTCCTGCTAATTGCTAATCGACCGTTGTACCTGTGCTCTTAATCCTCATGTTCTTGGTTTGATTGCTATCCTCTGTTTAATGGGCAGCTAATTCGATGCAAAATCGAATTACACCAATTAAGAGGAAATTCGATAAGCTTTTGTTGTGAACATACCAGGAGAACTTAAATCAATTTAGTAACTAACCCTTTTACAGGTGTTGAGAGAGGCACCTATTTTCAAGAAGTTAGCAACTCGTGATATCGTAAAAATGTGTAGCAATTGTACCGTCTTGAAATTTCAGAGGGGGCAAGCTATCATTAAGGCTGGCGTGACAATGGATAAGGTCAACTATAATCTTGATTACGATTCATTTTTGAAACGCAGACACGGTGACTTCGGTTATTTCCATATGCTTTATTTAAAAGTTGCCCATGTATATGAAGCTATCAAAGCTTTGTAGTTTTACTGATCCATATCTTTATTCTAATTATGCCTGGTTTGGGGTTGGTAGGTGTATTTCGTGCAAGAGGGACAGGTAAGAATGACTTGGGGTGCAACAGTAGGAAATGCAATGCCGGGAAGAGGAGCTATCAGTGGTGAGACATTAGCTCTTTTGGATAGATTGGAGATCCTTGGTGAAGCAATACTTTTGAATGATGAAATCATTAGCTCATGGAACTTCAATGCTGCAGCAGACCAGGTAACTCTCAAATCTTTAAAGTTTCTTCTTTTGACAGAATGAGGCATTTTCGACCATATAAAACAAGCCTTTCTCTTCTTGAAATTGTCATGGTGTGTCTTTCGTTATGTACCGGATAGAACTAGATTGTAACTGGCAGGAAGATGGGAAAGGCATATGAATCGCGCCTATATTCAACTGATTGCGGGTTCATGTGATGGGCCAGACGGAGATCATATGTATACCTCGGACATTTTTCACCAAAGATGTTCTGATCAACATTAGAAAAGGCCTTCAGATACAGCTTGCATCTGTAGGACTTCAGCGAGTTCCTGCGTTTCTGGAGCTTAACAGTGATCAAATTATTCACTTGGCTCAAAAATTGTCGGAATCTAGCTATTCAAGAGGTGTACAACCATGACGAAAATACTCTCGCTAGGTTTTGTCAGATATTAGTTTGTTAAGAGGTCGAATTATGTGGAAATTTGTGTGCTTGCAAAGTGTAATAAATGGGTCGGAATAATATGAAGAGTACTAGAAGTAGGAAACTTTCAATTATGACCAGTTTGTCAAGACATCTAGAAACTTCAAGTCTAAAGCATCTACCTCAGAGCTTTATTTCAAATAATTGTGCTTGATTTCAAAATGGATGTTGAATTGAAACTTTTCCTCTTGACACCTCAATTCCATCACAGCATAACAGTTGATACATTGACTGAATTTAATCATGCTACTGACGAGTAATGTTGATGTTCATTAGGGGACGAAATCACAAGATATGGAGACATATTGGGTGCCGATGCTCGTATATATGTTGTTCAAATGGGAGTTATTTCAATGCACAAAGGTGCTGTGGATCCTAACCTTCTAAAAAATAGGCCTACTTCTTTTGCGAAGACATCTACATCTGGGACGCCGGTTCCATCCTCTGCTCCAGCAAGTTCGAGCTCAGTTTCAGCATCTCCTGTTGGTAAAGATGCGCCGGTGGCGCCAACTCAGGATCGGAAAACTACGGAACGACGGGCTATGAGCGTCATGCAGTACGTTTCTTGAACAGATCTCAAAGGCGATACTAATTACCTTGACATCAATTCATGCGTTTCTTCAGAGGCCCTACATTTTTCCGTATGATCATGTGTCCTTGGTTGGCTGAAGGATGCGATTTGACATAAATTCTAGACCTGGCGTGATATGTTACTCTGAATCAGTGCATCACCTTAGTGTAGCTATGTAGTGCATGTTATATCATATCGTTGGTGAATCCCTAATAATTCACCGAATTTGTGGAACTTGCATGAGCAAATGACGAATATTGTAGTTTGCAGAGTTGGTGCAGGGGCCCCAGCTTGGACTTTTCCTACATATGGAGTGTTTGGAGATGAATGTCTGCAGAATTCAGTGAAAAATGACCATCATAAAGCATCATACTACAATACAACAATTTCCGAATCACCATCGGGTGTAATAGTTTTATCCATCTCACTGGCTGATGTCATATCTGTGTTAGGACCTATTCAGGATGTTCTCTCTCGTATTTCGAACTTGAAGAATCTCAGGTGCCCTTTCGATTATTTCACTATATAAATCCAGTTTGTCTGTAAAAAGGTTAGATAAAACTACCTTACCACTAGAGACTGGCAGTTCTAGCATTTCACGGATGAATTGATGAGGTGTAACAGTGATAATTTTCGGTTCTAATGCTTAAGTTTACGGGCATATTCTACCATTTGTCTCGAAGCAGTTGACGATGTGTGTATTTTTTCATAATACTCGAATTATGATGTTTGATGCATCTTCCATATTTATAGACTACATGAATGAGCTAGTGATAGGGAGTAAAATGTGACGCTTCATTTTCAGGAAGGTGAAATATCTAGAATTTTTGACTCCCAATGAACTCGATAAACTATCACACTCTCTGGGTCTGCGTATTTTACGACCAGGAGAGGCCGTATATAGAGCTGGAGAGCCTGGGGATCGTCTCTACATTGTTAAAAGAGGAACAGTAACGGAGGTTTCGCAAAATGCAAAAGGTCAGGAACCTCTTATCTTGGGCAAGGGAGCTGTCTTCGGAGAAGATGCACTTATGAGCAATGAGGCTCGATTGGTCACCATGGCATCGGGGCCTGCCGAACCCCCCATGACAGGAGGTCCGTACCTGTCTTTCCGGCTCCCTTGCTATTGAAAAGTGACATTTTTTCTGTACACATGCCCCTACTAGCGTAAGTGAATCATCTTGGGATGGTACAACAGGTGCCGAACTCTTTTATTTGGATAGGGCCGTTGTAGAGGCTCAGTTGGGATCACTGATGGAATTGAATGAGATCAGAAAGCGTGAAATTGAGATGCGGGGTCTTGTGAAGAGTATAACTTTTGCTGAACTTCAAGAAATCGGACTGCTAGGAACTGGTTATCATCTGCACTTTTCATCTTTCCTTCAATTGCTTACTGTGAATACATCCACCTCAAGATATGCACCTCTGAATATCCATCTCTGGAGCGAAATGAGCATCTAATAATGCTTCCTGTGGAATGGCTCGTTTCTTTGTACCTTCAACAATTTTAGAAGCTCCCATGCATGAGCATTGTTTGAGGGTGCCAATAACTATCCATGAATGATACCTCGCAGGGTTGTTTGGCAAAGTGAAATTGGTTTATAGTCGAAAAACAAAAGAACATTATGCCCTTAAATGCGTCAGTAAAGCTAAGGTAACTTCTTTCGAAGGTGTGATGGCTTGTGGTGCATTTTCAAATTGTTTAACTTGTAATGACCACAGAATAGAAATAACACAAATTTCAACAAATGGTTGGTGTGCAACTGATTTCACAGTTTCATCACTTGCAGGTTGTGCGTATGAATGAAGAAGAACATTTGCGGAATGAGAAGATGTACATGGCAGAGCTTGACCATCCTTTTATCAATAGGTTGATCCGAACGTACAGAGACCAAACTCATGTAAGACCCTTACAAGCCCATCATGAAACTATAAACTGATGACTAGAGATACAAGATCGGATTCATTCTTGAGCGTCTCTTGATATGTAAATTAGATCATGTCCTAGTCCAGTAATTAATATCCTGAGGGGTGGGGGTGGGAGAGACATCACTTAAACAGGTTTATCTGTTGGAAGAGTTGACGACTGGCCGGGAGCTATTTTTATTCCTGCAACGTGTTGGACGATTGCAAGAATGGGAGGCTGCTTTTTATGCTGGAGGTGTCTTACTTGCGTAAGATTCCAAAAATCAGTTCAATTTTATCAAATAATGAGAACTATTAAAGTTCAACTCTGGACAGCTCAAGTCAAAAATATTTGCATGCTTCCCTGGCAAGTTAATGAACTATTTTCCCATTTTTGGAATGGAGGTTCATGCCAAGAATACTGGATTTGTTTGCAGATTAGAGTACATGCATGGAAAAGGTATAGCTTATCGAGATCTTAAACCTGAGAACACTTTGATTGCGGAAAATGGGTATCCAAAGTTGATTGACATGGGCTTTGCTAAGCGTCTGTATAACCGACGCACTTATTCTATGTGTGGTACGCCTGATTACATGGCTCCTGAGATCATCAAAAGACAGGGTCATGGCAAGGGCGTCGACTATTGGGCTCTAGGATGCATGATTTTTGAAATGATCACATGTACTAGCCCATTCAATAGCGGCAACGACCCGCCTCAGGTGCGTAAGATTGAAACCCAGAACCAACTTTCTGAGCCAAAATGTAATCAGCACCGGAAAACATCTCTATCACATGTTGAACTCCTTGTCAAGTTGGAATCAAAATCTGTGTTCTTTGGTCTCGTAGATGGTGTTCCAAAAGGTTGTCGAGGGCAAGATCAAATTCCCTCCTTACATGAGTGTCAATGCCGTTGACATTGTGCGGAAGTTGCTGGATCCGAACCCCGAGACACGGCTTGGAAACCAGAAGTCCGGCATTGCTGAAATAAAGGAGCACCCTTTCTTCACAAAAGAGATCAATTTTCAGCTTCTCATACGACAAAGGGAAGAGGCCCCGGTGAGTTTTTATCTTCTTTTGTAAACCATATTATCGTAGTGACTCGTGATTTTTTTTTCAGCTTTACAGAGATCAACTTGTGTGTGTGGACAAGCCCTCGTAATAATGCCGGTTTTTCACGATCTGCAGATGGTGCCCCCCAAAGTTGCAGACTTCAAGAGTTTGTGCATACCTGACGACCAGACTGAAAGGCCTGAACCCCCACCTCCAAATCTAACCAATTGGGATGACGTGTTTTAATTTGTAGTTTTAACTTTCAGAGGAAATTGCTGATTGTTTAGACATGCATAAATATTCTTTTAGCATATTTGAAATCACCATGACATCGTAAGCTTGCAACGACTTTGAATGATCTTATCACCTCATGGTTTTGCAAGTCGAATGTCTTTGTCTTCTATGTCGATTCACAGAACTGGGTCACATGAGATTTTGCTTCAAGATCATGGTTTCTACATCAGTGTGATGAAGTCATCTCATGCAGTGAAGCCCTTCCCTATGTGTTGTCTTTCATAAATCCTCATCATGTGTAAATGAAAATGTGTGTGTGTGTATATATATATATATATATATATATATTTAGGTTAATTCATTCAAGCTGTTTATAAAACTTATTTTGATACTTTTATATTGGCTTGAATTGCATCATTATTTACAAAGAAAGAAATTTATAAATTTATTTTTATAATATTAAAAAATAAAGTGTATGTTTTGTTTTTATTATAGAATTTAATTTGAGACATAAAAAATAAAAAATAAAACAATATAAGAATATGATATAGCTCAAAAAAAAATCATAAACAAATTATTGAATATAGCAATTAGAATAAATACTTCGAAAGATTTTTTTTTAAAATAAATTATCAAAAACCATTAATTATAAAAAAAAGATGAAGTTTTTAGAAATATATAAGCATAAATTCAAAAACCTACAATAATTTATATCTATTTATGTAATTTAACTATTCTTATTAATAGATAAATAAATAATTCTAATATTTTTTAAGCTCTATAAATTAAATATTCTTAAATTATTTTTATTGATAATTAAATTTTCCATAACAATAAAGTATTTTGCCTTAGTCATGAATTTATCATTATATCAATTTTAATTTTATTTATTGAAATATATTATTATATAATTTTTTTGGTTTTACTTTATTTCAAAAATAGTGATATTTATTATATTATTATTATTATTATTATTATTATTGTTTTTATTATTATTATTATTATTTTTCATCATAAGCTTGAAGATTTAAGGATATAATAATAAATGAATGAAAATCTCAATATACTCTTGTGTCACTAAAAAAGACTAGAAAATCACTCAAAGATGGTATTATATTCAATTAGAATGGCTATTGCCAAAGACAAGAAGACTAAAAAGTCTTGAAAGAAGACTAAGGACTAGAAAGGCATTGACAAGACTATGAAGGTAAATTTTATCTTTCAATTCAAGTTACGAGATAACTTTAATTAAGAGTTGCTTGTAATTGGTGGTGTGAAGTAAAACAAGCAAATAGAAAGAACAAAAAAAGAACAAACATAAAACAAATGAAATAAATGAAATCAAGCAATTACACAATCCAAAACTTAGTCACAGTTTATTTATTAAATTTTTATCTAATAAAAAGTAAAAAATAAAAGTAAAAAAAAAGTATTTATAAAAATTTAATTTTTTTTTCTTTCTAATAGTGTAAAAACATATAAATTCAAGTTATTATGAATAAATTATAAAAGTTTAAAAATAACAAGTAAATAAATAAAAAATTAAATAAAAATATTTAATGTCAAAAATAACTTGTTTATAAATCAAGGATTTGAGCCCACCAAGGCTCATATATAGTGTATATAGATGTTTAAGAGAGGCCATGAGGGCTTAGTCTTATCTTCCTAATTATCTTCAAGGTGCTACAATGCATTTGAGACTTATACACTTTCTTCTGATAAGGACTATATTAGCTATTGGTCCTCCTATTTTCTACTACTAGATCCAATATTTTTACATTTTTGACTTCATCATGGCGTTCAAAAAGATCCAATTAGGCTAAGAACCTTGTATGGCCTTCAAATCTTGCTCCATTTCTTGATAATGGCTTCCAAAGTACTAAAACTTATTTGTATCAAAGTCTTAAAAATTGCTCTAAAAATTCAAAATAAATTCTAAAACTTTTTATAATGGTTTTACAATGCTAGTATCAATTTAAGGCAATAATTTCTTATCTTGGAATTTTTTTGTAGCTTCTTCACTCATATGTTTTTATTATTAATCTTGTATAACAATTGTGATGATGGAAATGTTGATTAAGAGTTCCTACACTCTCTTGGGGCACTTTGATCCTTTGCTAGAGTGATTGATGATGTTAGGAGGATTGAATCCATCCTTGCCTTCAACTTTCAAGGAATTCAACTAGATATTTTGGCCACCTAAATAGCCAATTCTATGACCTTATTGATTGGTTGCTAACAATTACGTCTACTTAATTATAGTTCTAAGCACTTTAGCAATAAGTACAATTTACTTTGTATTGTCAACTTCACAAGAAGATTGTGTGTAGCACTTCGTAAGTTAATATTTTCTTACAACATCAAGATTTAGGAACAATATCAAGGAGGGAAGTACTTAATCCAATAGGATCAATCTAAGAATTTGATTTGAGATCAATCAGTCTATAATGATGATAGTGGTTAAAATAATCAATATGTTTGTAGTAATTGACTACACCAACATGAATAAGTATTGAAGTACATATTTTGTAATAACATTGTATATTGCCATGTTAGTTGAAAGAAAACGATTAAAGCCCTTTAACTGATACCTTCAAACTAACCTTGCAGTAAGCAAGCACTTTGAAGTAGTAGTGGCACCAAACACTTTAACATCATAACAATAAGAATATGATAATGATGAAAACTAAAAAATAATTAGAGCATTGCTAAAAGTGATTTTGACGACAATCAATTTAAGGGATTTTTTTTTTTTTTTTTTTTTTTTTTTTTTTTTTTTTTTTTCTTTCTTTCTTTCTTTAATTTTTTTTCTTTTTAAACAGCTCTTGTTCAACTATGAGTCTAGATTTAGATTGATTTTTTGTAGTACAATGACCAAGTAACAATGTAGAAGGTCTATAACTTGTAATTTTGATTACATTGCAAACATTCTTTGTTATAGAATCAAGATGATGCTACTATATGGCAATAGAAGACCAAGATTGGCAATGACTACTACCGCAATGTTACTAGACCTTTGAATGTTGGTTAATCCTTTAGCTATAAGTAGACAAGAGAAGACACCAAGAACTTTTGTAGGAGGAAGCCAAAAAATGAGGAGAGTGTTGATGCTTCAATTAAGAGATCCACAATCTATTTGTTATTAATAAAGCACAATACTTCTCTATCCATACTTTACAAAAAAAAATAAAAATAGCTTTGTATATGCAACCAACTTCATGTCAATTAGGAGTAAATGTCACAATTCTAGTATAATATGAATATGTCTTTTCTTGTCACAATACGTCACAGGAAAAAAAAAATTGTAATGGCAAGAAAAAATAAATATAATTGTATTGCACCGTAGCAAAGAAGAAGGACACAAAATTGTGGCACTTTGCCTTTGCAATATCAATGCTAATAATGTGCAATAGGTCTAGGTTCTTGATTAGCTCATCTACAATCACCACAATGTTGTACAAATCCTTGCTGCATCCACAACTTTGCTCTTTAATTGTAAGCAAGATTAGGAAAATAATCCATAGCTTAGCTCCTCAAGCTGTGGCACTTTGTATTTTTACAATGGTACCAAAGAAGCAAAGATTGAAATGTGGACCTATGACAAATAATTAAACAGTATCACCGCTTGAATAACAATAATCAGCTGCAACAATCTAGCTACTAGCTCTTTTTCTTTACTGAAAGGAGAATTATAAAAAAATAAGATCTAAAATTATTAAATTGCATCCCTTTAGTGATGCAAAAGAAAAAAAATTTAGAATACACAAATCTCATGGAGAAAAAAATAAAATAAAAAAAAACTAAAGAAAAGAAAAGAAAAGAAAAGAAAGATTTGGAGTAGCTCAGATGCTTATCAATAAAGAAACTACCACCATTCAAGGGAAATCTCTCACCTTTTCAATCACCTTTTATTTCTTATATATATATATATATATATATATATATATTCTTTCTTCTTCTTCTTCAATTTTTTTTTTCTATTTTTTTATTTTTTTTCTATTATTTTGATTATTTTATTTTATTATATATATATATATATATATATCTATATTTTATGAACTATTAATAAAATATATAATTTTTTTTTAAAAATATCTAATATAATTATAAAAAAACCTATTTATCATAAAAATTTGTCTTAATATATTCTATCATAGATTGCATATCTGCTATGAACAATCCATTTTCTATTTTTTCTTAAAATTTCTACTACTAATTCATAAAATCTATGATTTTAAGTATAATAAATGCATTCTTTATACTAAATACTTATGTGAATTAATTTAGTGTCTCACATATTGTGACCATCTGAAATAATTTGAAGAGGCAAAGAATCTAAAACTCTTATTCCAAAGGCAAGATTTTATTTAGAGTTAAGCATATTGGATTTAATATTCTATCAAGACTATACTAATACTACTATAGAACTAAAGTAAAAATACTCATATAAAAGATTCTGCTCAATATTACTACACCCCTATCTTCTAGTGCTACTTCTCTCAAGTTAAAAGACTATTGAAGAAATTATTCTACTTAATAAAGCAAGATAAGATAATTCTATGAGATAAGAAATAAAACAAAAAAAAGAAAGAAAAAAAATACTTTTATATAAAAAATCTAAAAGTTGGTGCTATATAATTCTTATTCAAGGAGAATAATTTAAATTAGAAGCCATGAAGCCTACATATCCTCTAAGTTATAGAAGTTGGTTACTTTTTTACTCTAATATTAGTTCATATGAATAGTTACCTTTGTAGAGCGAATACAAATCCAAGCCAACTCTTACATAATTACTTTTGTAGGCAATTTCCTAATAATTCAAAGATGCTAATTAATTCTAAGTCATTTCTAAATTCCATAAAGCATTTTTTTTTTCATAGGATTCATTACTTCTAATAAGAAAAATACATAATGAGAACTATGTAAAGAATAGTTCTTAACTTCCAGATGAGTCAAAATTCTTATTTTTTTGATAAAAATAAAATTTGACTAAGTTTTTTAGCTAGATCCTTACTTGTTTATATAAACAAAGAATATACTTTTTTCCTTCTATGAGATAATTTTTTTTTTTTTTTTTTTATACTTCTTATATCTATTTCTAGATGTTCTTATTGGAAATAGTTCACTATTTAATATTTCAAACTATAAAGAGTTGTTATTAAATACTTCTTTGATATGATAAGGTCCTAATCAAAGAGCATCAAATTTTGTTAGAAAATCCATTCTCTTGTAACAATATTACTGTTCTTGATTTTTTTTTTTTTTTTTTTTTTTTTTTTTTTTTTCATTG